CAACTACACACTAATTGTCTTACCATTAACTATTTCTCAACAACAACTACCCATGGAATTCAATATATAGTTTCATAAAATTGCGCAGAAAGTTCACCCTACACAAACCTTACACAAACCCTATATCCTTCCCAAAAAATGCCAAATTTACCAGATTTACCAGATCATATTTTCGAAATCATTGTGAAGAAAGTTGCTGAGTCTGACTGCATCGACCTTGGACCGATTATTCTGGCCGGGACCCGTGGTAGAGACATTGCGTATAGCGCGGAAGTACTCAGATCGGCATACCTATGGACATTGCATGACACACCATCTCGGATATACCCTGGTGGAGTATATCGGCCTTTATTCCTGCGCTGCTTAGCGTCGAGAAATCCACGGGCCATATTGGTCGAAGCTATAAGGTTCGTGTCAACAGAGGAGAAGATCTACACCGCCATCAGGATGCTAAATATATAAGCTCGTGCCATCAGTAGTCTATGCGACTTACAGCTGTGCGATTTTGCAAATGTGCGTGGGTCGCCCTAACAGAGGGAAAAAACTTCTGAAGATGGTTTTTATGTACCACTATCCTCATGATTCTCGTGAAATTCTTGAAGTCGCCGCAGAGATAGTAGATTTATTCTGGTCATTTTGCCCACGTAATAAACATACATACAAGGAAAAGTTCAGGTACCCTAGTCTCATTCATGAAGACAACTCTGCGTCGTGCGAAGTGTATCACGAGAATGTGCATTATATTGTTACATGTGAAAATTGTTATCTTAGATGTTCGGCAGAACGCATAGCAAAAATGCTTTAGTATCGATGTGCTATGCTCGCTTGTCGCTTGTTTGTAAAATAAATATGAAATTTTTATAACAGCCTTATGTTTAACAGCCTTATGTCAAAAAAAGGGTTTACAATCACGTATACCAATGTTGGTGTACGTTTACGAACCCGTATACCAATTATAGTGTACGTTTACGTTCAAGTATTCATCGTTCTTTAAAAATGTGTAATGTTATTATATTTTCAACCTGTTTTACGTTTCCAATCTATATCTGACCCCGTTTACGTAAGTAAGTGTACGTCTTTAGGTTTACGGTTTTAGGTATACGTAAGTAGGTGTACGTCTATAGGTATACGGTAATAGGTGTACATAAATAATTACAGTGAAGAGGTGTACAAAATTAATTACTGCCCTAGACGAAATGATATCCTAGCTTGATGATTAATTACGTAAGTAGGTGTACGTAAGTAGGTGTACGTCTATAGGTATACGGTAATAAGTGTACATAAATAATTACAGTGAAGAGGTGTACATAATTAATTACTGCCCTAGACGAAATGATATTCTGGCACTTTCATGTTGATACAAAACATTTTAAGAGCTTGATGATTAATTACTACATTTACGAACATAAGTACCATAAATATCATAAAATCAACTACTAATTCTCCGTAGATTATATTTATACAAAAGTAAGAGTTGCAACTAAAAACCGAAAGCAGACAAGCAATTTGAAAAATATCAGTTGTAGTTTGGAACACTTAGACAACATAAATAATTAAAGAGACACGAATGCAAGCAAATACTAAGATTACGGCTTTCACCAATCGAGCATGAACGGCCAGCCTGGAACGACGTTCCTAATGAAGCGGAAGAACCTTTGGGTCTCTTGGGCCCAGAAACAGGTTGTGCACTTTGGCTGCTTAAAGTCTTCTGCAAACCACTGGAGCCAGTAATTGATAACCCCGCAGTGACAGGTGTACAGCGCAAGGAATCTCGGATGAAAGGCAGCCACTTTCTCAGTGAAATCCACTGGCAAATCGAAATTCCATCCGTGTGGAACATCGGCCAGCAACAACCGGCTCATCCTCCTCTGGTTTTGCACCGTGAGCCTGCCCAAATACTCCTCTGCACGGACGAAGTCTTCCGGCACAGCTCTGAGCCACATCCCGTACACAAAAAGGGCTCGGTCGTAGCCTCCCTCCGCAGCAGCCCTTATCAATTCCACGCCTTCACAATCGTGGAAGAAAAAGTAGGCTTGCATCCCCCTCTCGAAAATAACCCCTGGATTACCCGCGTCATGGAATCTCCTCATCATCGTTGGGTAATGTGGAACCGCCGCTTGTTCATGCACGATTTTGGCGGGATCAATGGCTCGATAGAAACCCCTGCTTGTGCCGATACGGTTGAAACGAGAACAAACAGCACGGAGGCGGGCTATTTCCCTTATAGTTGGGTTTGTAGCGGCCAGAATTTGTTCCAGCAATTCAACAGGGAGTGAGAGAAGATAGGAAAAGTCAGCATCACCACCTCTGTTTCTCCTTGGAACCATCGTTTATTTCGGTGAAAAGAGAAAAGATAAGAAAATGGAATGAGGAAGATGAGAAAGAATTGAAAATGGTACAAAAGAGGAAGTTATGATGGTTCTAAGTAGGCAGTTACGGTGAAGGGATTGAATTTAAAGAGGTAGTGCAGTTTTAATAGAGCCGAATAGCTGTCTTTGAAGAGAGACGTTGAAAAGAGACGAAAATGTGTCTTTTCGTTTACCGGCAAAATTAAATTACCACAATAAATACAAAGAATTACCAAATAAGACAGCCCTTTTATAATTGTTGGAAAATAAATTTCTTGTCATCATTACAGACGTTTTCTCAACATCACGTTAACCGAGATAGAGTAGAGATTGAGTCCACATAGACGAAATCATGATTTTTTTTAAAAAATATGCGTACAGAAATAGGTAAGGTAAGACTTTTAATAAATAATGTCGTGTGTATATCCATGTTCTCCAAAAATTCTCTGAAACAGATAATGTCGTTTGTTTACTCAAATATATAATATGTGATAACTGTAACATTCAGGTGTACAAATTTAGGTGTACATATTGAGTCCAGATTGAGGTGTTTTTTTTTGTGTAGTTATTAGGCGTACACAGAGAGGTAAGCTGAGACTTTAAAGATATAAGAGAACGGTAAGAGAACGGTTCTCGAAAAACTTGCACTACCACCCACCGAAATTAAATAAAGTCAGCACAATTAAAGTATCCATAGATTGAAAGCAAAACAAAGTACACCTACATACATACATACGTAGTAGGCCTAAATAAAATTTTAAATCTTAAAGTACGAAGTAACAGCAACGCCGAGGTGTACTTAACTTAGGTGTACACACCAAGGTGTACACCCCGCAGGTGTACACACCGAAACTGGTTGACTTGCACCAATCAGTCACCATTCTTCCATTGACGGCCCAGAACGCGCTGCATACCAAACAAATACGAAGAACTTTTGCGTTTCCTGTGCCCAGAAACACGACGTGCACATGCTTGGCCCCTTTAACAATTCGTCATGCCAATCAAGTTGAGCATTGGCAACACCACAGCGACAAGACCAAAGTGTGGCAAACTGAGCATTAGTCTCAAATCTCCTCCTCGAGAACTCTTCTGGCAAAATAACATAACCACGCTCACCTCCATCAATAATTTTCTGAATTATTCTCCTCATTGCCCCCCTGCCTAGTTTTGAAAGGTACTCTAAACCCACGGGGTCTTCAACCACTGCTTTCATGTACATGCCATACATGTAAATACATGTTTCGTATCCCATATCTGCAGATTCCTTGATGAGTTTTATGCCACATTTGTCTCCTCGGCAGAAGTAGGATTGCGTGCGTCATACATCGTCCTCAACAAGTTGGGAAATTCCCAATTCGCGATAAAAGGCATATCGAAATCTTCGGGAATAGGCATCTCCAATTCCACGGGATCAACCGATGCTAGAAAATTTTTGGTTAAAGTGCAGGCCTGGAACCGTTTGCAAACTTGCTTCAGTGTGAAAATTTGTTGGACGGAGTTGCAACTGTATGCGAGAACCTTCTCCAATAGTTCGTCGGGAAGCGCCATCAGAGGGGATTGACGATAATCACGGATATCCGCATCACATCGCCCTCTCTTTGGTGCCATATTTAATTTGTGAGGTTCAATTGTGATAAAAATGGTTGTTTATGGAGATGGAATAACTGCGGTTTAGGATTTGTGAAGCGGAACGGTTCTTAATGTTACATATATATAATAATTAAAAAAGCCCACTAAATGACCGTATACATTAAATGCGGTTACCGTTAAGATTGTAAATGAGTTTGTAAAATTAGTGGATAAACCATAAATTTCCTTGTTGTACACCCAATTGATGTACACGTAAATGGATATTGGTGTACAGGTACATATTTAGCCGGGAACAAGGTATTCACACAACAATTAATAAATACTAAAATAATGTGAAGTATAAACAAATTTGTCTTTATGTACTCCCATTTGATGCATATTGGTGTACAACTAAACGCTATTAGGTGTACGGATACGCAATTATTAAAGTAAACTAAATTATAAGCAAATTATATAATCGACACACCAATTAATAGATAGTAAAGTAAACAATATTATAAGCATATAAATTATCAAATAAACCCACATCCTAAACATTATCAAACACATAATCCAACAAATAACCCTTGCATAAATTGTCAAGTTCAACATTAAACTTCAACATTCGTCCTAAGTGTTGGCAATAGCCGGATTCCTGACAAACTCTTCGTATGAGTCCATGGCGTATTTCTCCCTTAACCTGTCAACGTCATCGTCCGTTATCAAACCCATATCCTCCACTCCAAGGCCTGCAGCATGCATCTCTAAGAATTTGGCCGCACATGGACCACAGTCACCGGATCTTTTGTTCTGATATATGCCCTCCAAACGACTCCATGTGTAAGGGGTGGTGCATAGGCCTTCCGTTAATTTGCTATCCAAATAACGCTTCAATATAAATGGCATACTTTGACACACGGGCGCCATATACTGCTCCACAGCGGCTTCATCATTATGACTGATGAATGAGTCCAAAATCTTTATGTTGCCCGTTTTAAAGTCAATTACAAGGCCCACCCAATGCTCAGACCCCCAGTTCATGGGGACGTATACAACGTCCACAAACCGTACAAACATTTGCCTCTACCGCTGATTAGCCCACTTTGCTGGTTTTCCCAATACAATGCCCTGAATGGTTTTCCCCCAGTCATACTGATTTTTGTCTCGCGATATGAAATCGTTGTAGTAGTTGCCGATGATGGATATGAACAAGGTGTCTACAAATGCTACCCTGTCTTTCAAGTATATTTCACCTCTACGTCTCCAAAGCATGGCCATTATGACTTGCATGTGCTGACGAAAAATAAAACATAAATAACATATAATACAGATAATTAAAGATTGAGTAAGTACTAACTATATACTTACCATCGTGTTAACCCACTCAATAGGCTTCGCAATTTGTAGGAAGAATTGATTGTTCACAGTATGACCATTGACAATGCAAAATTCGCTGTAATGAGAGCAATTGGTAATTGATTAGAATGAAAGTTTAAGGATAAATTGCTTTCAATACGATATAACTTACATGTTTCTTTCACGCGATAATAACTCCTGAAATGCCTTGAAGTGGTCTTGGTCAACTGTTTCGAGTGGTTTGTACGCAGCTTTCGATCTGGATACAAATAGAGCTTTCACCTTTGAATCAGCGGTGTAAATATCTCGAATCTTGTCCGATCGTACACGTGCGCGTTTTGCTCTACTTCTTCCTCCTCTTCCTGTTCCTCTACCTCTTCGTCCTCTTCCTGTTCCTCCACTTGTTCTCCTTACACCAGACGATCCCTCAACTTCTTGTGGGGGTTTTGGAGTACAAGGGGTCTTCTGCGAAGCATCACTTGCATCCTCAGGCGCAGTATGGTAATCTTTCCCCGCATTTGAGTCGTCCTCATTAGCCACACCCTACAAACCACCGTAACAATAAAGCGTATAACATATCAATCGTATACCTAGCGTATACCTAAACACTACTGTATACACATGCATATCATATGAACAACTTTAATGTCTGACCTGTGCATCCTGCGCATCTGTCTGCGCTTCATGTTTCTTATATGCGTAGCTCAATGGGTGAGGAGTCTGAGGTTTGTAGACTACTAAGGGGCCTGACACCAAATTTGTTCTACCACCATCCACCTGAATAAGTCATAAAAAACATAGCACATTACACCCACGTTATGAAACTTAATAGAGTCAGCTGCTGACTAAACAATTAGCTCACCTCGTTGAGGCCAGAAGGTGGAATTTCATCCGGAGTGACGAAGTAAGGAGGTGGACGAGTTGTTCCTGAATTGGCTTGTCCCGGTTCAGGGGTCATCGTCGGAGCTTCTGGAGTCTTCAAGTACGCATGGTCCCTGGGAGAATAATGGTCCCCGCCGTAGTAACTAGAGGTCCCTTCTTCATCATCTCTTTCTTTCTGGTGTACACCATCTTCGGGGTGTACACCATCATTATGGCGTACGCTAGACTGTGCCCCTCCATCTTCGGCTTCGTCTTCATCTTCATCCGCTTTTTCACCATCTTTTTTTGTATTCTGTCCTTCGTCATCCTGTTCCCCATCTTCTTTTGACTGGTGTACATCGTCATCTTCTTCGTCCTCTTGGTATACGCCCAATCTCTTGTCCAACTCGGTCTTAATCTCAGGAAGGAGCAAAGTATTCTGAAGTACTATCCATCTTTTAAGATCTTTAATCTGTCAACTTTCAGGTGTTTCATCTTCCGATAGATTAGAAAAGTTCTTGCCCCTGCCTCTCTTCCTCTGCATATTACGTTTTTCAGTTTGATGGGTTTTCTGTTTCTTTTTCGGTCGGGTGGATGGCTCAGGTTCCTGTTCATTGGTAACCTCGTCCTCTGCATCACTAATATCCACGATAGGTGCCGGTGCCACTGCAAAATCCGAAGGTGTGAATTTGTACCCCTCGGCCATGAGTTCCTGCATGAATGCAACTTCGGCATCCTCTACCTCATCTCCCCAACGCAATTCATTTTGTTGGTCATTCTCACCATCATCCACTACCATCTGTTTCACAGAAAACTAAGACAAAAAATATACAATTGCAAATTTACCAACCAAAATGACAGAGCACTTATCTTTTAAGAGAAGTACTACAAAATAAGACTACAAATAGTACTAAATATAATACTACAAATAATTTACCAGAGGGTCGGATTCGACGGCATGTATGTCCCCAAGATGCAACAGTGTGATAACGTTTTGACAGCCTTCGGGATCTTCAAGGAATGTCTTCAAGTTATCAGGTTGAGGAATTTTGGAAACCAACATTGGTATAGATTGGAGGGCCATGAGTTGTAGTGATAGAGGGAATCCATAGCATGCACTGGTTTTCTGTTTAAGTTGACGGCGCAATCGTGTTACAGGATTCTCCCTTTTCTCGGCATCCGTGATTGCCTTCGGAGCTTGAAAACAAGATACTGTTTTGTTAAAGGATACCCTCCCCCATGGATACAGCATGAACCTATCCAAGTCACTCAACATCTCAACGTATTTCTCGGTGAGGGCCAGATTTTTGCTATTGCAAAACAGAACACCGTCGACAAGAACGATTAGGGCCAATGGAAGCCGTTTCCATCGGGGTAGATCCGGGTCCTTTAGCATTTCAAGCACATCATACACGTTCATAGCCTTCACTCTTCCGAACAGGTCTTTCCAGATTCCTGTTTTCCCGACTTCTTCTTCTTCTTCTGTGCTATCAGGTTCGGGATTGCAATTCAATCCAGTGATTTCCTTGAACTCCCGTATCGAATATCTCAGAGGCTGTCCACCAAAGAGGAACCAAATCTCGTGTTTCTTCGTGGTCACAAGTTGTCATGATAGAAGGGCATGGACAAGTTTGGCGCTGTTGCAACATCTTGCAACAGGTAGATGGAATAACTTCCCAAACTGGGAATGAAGTAGCTTCTCAAGATCTTCAGTACCCTTTAACGCCTCGACAAGGAGGCCAATTACATTGGCCTTTGAATATATGTTCAACCGAGCACCAACGGGGTAGCAACCATCGCCGAGGACTCTTTTTGGTAGTTTTCCGAAAGGTTATTTGAAGCTTCTCCATCTTCCATGCCTGTATTTGAAGGTTCTCCGTCTTCCATTCCTGTATTTGAACGAAAACAACAATTTCGAAATGCACGAAAAGATATAGTATTCTGGATAAACACTGAAATGCAAACCTAGGGGAAATGTTTGAGGGAAAGGAGTTCGAAGGAGTTCGAAAGAGAGAACATATATCTGGGAAAACTACCCTATTTGTATGCTCTCCTATAAAAACTTCTGTAACTGTTTCTAGATGATATAAGAGTAATCCAACCGTTTGAAATCAATATGTAGACATAAGTACTACAGTTCATAACCGCTAATACATAAATGAAGCCAATCAGCGCCCCGTTTCAATCTTAATTTTAATTACAAACCGCCAGTACAGTTCAGACAAGGTCGAAGTTCATAAATGTAACTTACTTTTAGAATTCTGAGCAGGCCATTCTAGAAGAAGAGGAGCGAATTGTACTTTGGCTCTACACCGCCGGCATGGATTCAGACGACTCGAGTGAATGGGATGTTCAACCCGGTCACTCCGCCGCGGTGGCACGGGCGGCATGGGCGAGTGGTCCGTCGGAGCTGTCTTCGAGTTACTCCGGAGCACGCGCCTCGACACCGGAGGCACGGTGTTGTTGCGCCTTAACGATTTTTTTACTTTCCGTGCCATTACAACGGTAAATCGGATGGCTAATCGAAGATGGATTGCCGGAGATGCTAGATAGATGACGTCCAGATGTGGATCCCAAATTAAATTTTTATTTTAAATGTTGGGGTGTCGATAAATTATACATTTGGTTTTACTTCGGTTTATGATATTGGACTTCGGTTGATAATTTTGTGTAATCGGTTTACGAAATCGGGTTTAATCTGAAATTTTTAGTTATTTTACTTCGATAATGGCAATTCCGAAAATAAAATTTGCCTAAGGGCCCTTGTGAGAAGACAAACAGTAAAAACAACCCTTTCCTTCTATAGTTTTCAAAACATCATATTCCTCAAATTTAAAACTTAAAAACATCCCATTCAGCAATTTTCTCATATAAAAAGAGATTTCCTCGGAAACTAAGTCGACGGAAAAGAGAATTCTTTGCAAACTAAACCTAAATAAACATAGCCTACAACGAAAACTTTCAACCAAGACCAGAACCTAGAAAGCAAAAAGATCACTTGAGCTTTTACTTCTTTTTTTTTTTTTGAACAGCACTGAGGTTTTACTTCAAGTAGTATTTTTTCAAGCAAAAATAGAAAAGGAAACAAATGTCAACTCTTCAAAAAGAGTTGTACTTGTGATATGTGAGTATTGTTCAACGAATAAAATATCTAAAAAGCGACTAAGTTTGAACCATTAAATAAAATATTTATTTTATCCTAGCTTCTCTTCCAAAACCGTAATTTTCATTTCCTAAAGACACTCACTTATCGTCCTAATCCTCCTCGCAGCCACAATCTTCATCTTAAGGTCTGAGCAAAGTGCAAAAGATAGGATCAGGTTCTTCTTACAAGGTAAAATATAATCACTTTCTCTGATTCTGATTCTCTTATTCTTCCCATTTGTGGTCGATTGAGTCCTCTCTCCACTTTAGTAATCTTCACAATCTGTCGGAAACGGTGAGGGTGAAGAGATTTCTTATTTCTTGTTGCTTTGTTTCATTTTAGAGATTTTTTGTGTAATCGAATTTTATCACTGTAATGAAAAAGTTACGCCCTTTAGTTGTTTGATTAAATGCTCCAATGAAAGATTATTTGTCATAAAAACCCAAACTTTTCTCCATTTTTATTGTAAAACATCGTGAATCTCTTTCGGGGTTTGGTGAAAATGAAGAGATATGATGATTGACATATTGCTCTTAATGCACAGATTCCGAGCTTTTATAATGGCGCTGTTTCCTCTTCACCACGAATTCCCCTGTAAAGATCATATTTTTCATAGTGGAACTTCGACTAGACAAAGCAAAGGAGAGCTGTTGTTTGATTCGAATGGTTCAAGGCGTTTTTCTTCCGGCAGGACCTTCTTCTTCCCAAGTCCGGCTTTTGACGTGTTAATGAAGGCAGAGGTTATTAGCAGTAAACATAGAACAATGGCTGAAGCTACTTCTCTGGGGAGGGATTGTAGGGTGAAGAGTCATATAAGATCGATCCCGTATTGTCTTTCATCAAGAAGGAATCTATGCTTGGTTAGAGCGTCATCAGAGAACAAGATGATAAAAAAGAGACTTAAGATGTTAGATACTTACTTTGGGAAACTTCAAAGCGACGATGAGAAGCCTTCTGTCTCCACGGGAGATGAAATCGATCGTAAAGCTGAACTCAATGCAGAGGAAGAGTTGGAATCTTTGAGCGTTTATCTTGATAAACTCCAAAAGGGTATGACAATAATAATACGATCTTCTTGAATTTGGTGACTTTCCTCTTGTTACTACTCACTGACTTCGTTCTTTTATTCTCAGATGCGAAGTTTAAAGAAGGCGGTTCAGTAGCAAGCAAAATGAGAAAGACTGATATCAAAAGTAATAATAGTCCTTTTCAGCAGCTCGAGGATGATAATGATCAATCAGAAGATACATTGAACTTCTATGCTGTGTAAAAACTCGTAACCACCCTCTTGTTCGTCTTTTGTTGCAACTTGCAACACATGTTCTTACTGACAATGTGTCTCCATTGAAAATGCAGGAGCATATTAGCATCCATAAATGTCGGAGTGTGTCTATTTGAAGCTGCAAGTCCCATTAGGAACAACGATATGGGACTGTTATCACTGCCGCTTTTGTATGGAGCAAAGATAAACGATCTAATCGTGGCTGGACAATGGTGGAGGCTGGTCACACCCATGTTTCTGGTACAAGACCAACAAATTGGGTCTGTTCTCCCTTTCTTTACTGTTTCAAAACTGTGACCAAAACAGCCGGAGATTTTAAAATACTGGACAAAAATTATCTTCAAAAGCAGAAGTATATATTGCTTTAGTTTTCTCATTGCATATTTTTGTGTTCCACATTCAGCACTCTTGATGACTTGGTTTCATGTAAGTTTTCTCTTTTTGTCACTGAAACGCTTTCTTTTTCACATATGCAGCATTCTGGAATCCCTCATGTAGCACTTAGCTCGTGGGCTCTGCTGACTTTTGGACCAAAAGTTTGCCGTGACTATGGGATATTCACATTTTGTCTCATTTACATACTCGGAGGAGTGTCTGGTAACTTCATGAGCTTTCTTCATACACCAGATCCTACAGTTGGAGGAACTGTAAGCTAACCAAACTTTCCAATATGTGATATCACCAAATTGCACCGTTCTTAACTTTCAGACTTAACGTAAACTGATTGTGTGCAGGGACCAGCATTTGCATTAATAGGAGCTTGGCTTGTCGACCAAAATCAGAACAAAGAGATGATCAAAAGAGATGAATACGAAGATCTGTTTCAAAAGGCCATTATAATGGCAGGACTTGGTCTAATCTTAAGCCATTTCGGTCCAATAGATGACTGGTAAGTTGCTTCCAACATATCTTTCACATGTTTTGCTTAGAATAATCCATCATAAAAACTTGATCTTTGGTTTGATTGATAAGTTTACTCTAGACTCAACAAACAACACTCAAGGATATACTGTGTTTTTCATGACAGGACAAATCTAGGAGCACTTGTAGCAGGGATCGTGTACGGGTTCTTCACTTGTCCTGTGTTTCAACTTGGAAGAGGGAGTGAGAGACAAGAAGGGATTGTGACGGTTGGACCAGAGAAACAGAACAATGGTGATCCGTGTAAATCATTTCTTGTGTTCATAGTCTTTGTCGCTGTTCTTGTGACTTGTGTGGTGCTTCTTGGTGATGGACCGTTGGACTTCCCTACGTACGACGATGTTGTCTACTCTCTCATTTAGTGTGTCATCATCGTCAAGACATCAACTGGTTAAGGAACTTGTGTGTGTTTATGTAGTGGAAAGCTCAATTTGAATATTGGTGGACGAGAGTTCTTTTGTTTGGGGTATAGCAAAGATGAGAAAAACATGTTTTGGCTATGTCAAGTTTTTATTTTTGGTCGATCATCAACTATTTTGGTGTAATTATGTTGAAATCTCAAGCTTTTTGTGTAACCATGTCTCAGTGTATACTACTTGTGTCACTTTAGTAGTATTATAACAATTAAATCGGCAATAACAACTATTAAAACAGAAAAGAATGGTTGTAAACTTCATCAGTTCGACAAAGCTTAAGCATATTTTAAGGGGTTTATGATTATCATACTTAAAGAAACCTAAATACTATGTTGAGAAAGTCTATAACAAAAAAAGAACACGATAATTAAACCAATATCCGAGAAAATAAGTTTTTGAATTTCATTAAGAGGAAAATAGCAAATTTCGAGGAACCTAAAAGAGGAATCAATCGCAAAGTAGTTTTCAAATTGTTTCCAAACAAACAAAACAACAATAATAGAAAAAAGTGTTATCTTATAATAAGAATCCTGAGCTATCTCTCACTCAGATTATCACATAAACCTTCTAGGAAGTTTCTCTATCTTTATAAAATGACTTCCACTTCTTCAGTTTTTACTCTGCACCTTCGGGCTTCGAAGCCTCCTTTATCTCATCTCCTGCTTCATCCTATCAACCCAAAAAAGAAACAATCATGTCAATTACAAAACTAAGCAAGCCCTAAGTAATAGTGAACGATAGATGAATCTTTGTTGTGTCGAGGCTTACTGTCATGTCTGAAGTCCAGAGAGTGAGGTTGTCTCTGAGAAGTTGCATAATCAGTGTACTGTCCTTGTATGATTCCTCACCCAAAGTATCCAACTCGGCGATAGCTTCATCAAAAGCCTGCAGAACCAATTGAGCTCATTAAGTTTTAGAAAGTTGAAAACTTTCACATGGTTAAAGAAGATGGTGAGAAAACAAACCTGCTTTGCGAGGCTGCAAGCACGGTCAGGCGAGTTTAGGATTTCATAGTAAAACACAGAGAAGTTGAGTGCAAGACCAAGCCTTATCGGGTGAGTGGGAGCTAACTCAGCAATGGCAATGTCCTGCATTATCACAGAATATAGAAACAACAACAAAATCAATCATAGCTAGCTACAAAAAAGAAAGGTAGTATCGAATGTTGTAATTTAAAGGAAGAATTATCACTTGCCTGAGCAGATTTGTAAGCAACCAGAGTGCTTTCAGCAGCTTCTTTCCTCTCGGCTCCAGCTTTAAACTCAGCAAGATACCTGTGGTAATCTCCCTTCATCTTAAGGTAAAACACTTTAGATTCAGCTGGTGAAGCAGATGGAATCAGATGAGCTTCAAGAACATTCAAAATCCCATCGCAGATTTTGTTAAGTTCGGTTTCGATTTTGCCCCTGTATTCCTTGATGATAGCGACATGTTCTTCGTTCCCTTTGCTATCTTCCTTCTGCTCAATCGAAGAAATGATCCTCCACGAAGCTCTTCTCGCCCCGATCACATTCTTGTAAGCAACGGAGAGAAGGTTCCTCTCTTCAACGGTGAGTTCCTCGACATCCACGGTCTTTGCAACTTTCTCCATGAATTCAACCATTTCTTCGTAACGCTCAGCTTGCTCGGCTAACTTCGCCATGTACACATTCTCTTCCCTTGATGATTCAGTCGACATCTTCGATTTGAGAATCTAGAGTAACACCAACAAAGCAGAAACAGTTACTAACCCTTAAAACCGTGCAATAATTGAACAAAACCATAGCATCTACACACTCATTTACTAAATCATGTTTTTTCATCGGATTAAGTACACACTCAAGATCTCACAGAAAATAGCGAGTGATATTACTCTACTAACTCTAAAGCCGTGCAAATATTGAATCAAGCCATAACCCAAATCACCATCTACACACTCATTCACTGAATCATGTTCTAATCATGTTCTTTATCGGATTAAGACCACACTCAAGATCTCACTGAACTCATCGATAAGAACAGTGATATCTAGAGCAAATCCTACAAAGCGATAACAAATTAACTCTAATAACCCCAAAGCCGTGCGAAAATTGTTTCAAGCCATAACCCAAGTCAAACATCAATACACTCATTCACTTAATCATGTTCTTTACGGATTAAGAACAACGTCATGCTTTGACACAAACAGCATTAAGAACAGTGTGATGATGCAGTCAACATCTTTGATTAAAGAATCTAGAGCATATCCTATAAAGCGAAAACAAAGTAACTCTACCAACCCTAAAACTGTGCATACACTTGAATCAAACCATAATCAAAATCATCATCTACACACTCATTCACTAAATCACACTGTTCTTCACTGAAAACAGAGATAAGAACAGCGAAAATTGGCCAATCCAACACAGAATACGAACATACTCGAGCTCTCTCACTCAAACCAAGGATAGATCGATCACTAGAATGGAACAATAGAACATCAGATCTACACGAACGAGAAGTTGAACGAAGGATGATTAGAGAGAGAAACTTCAGGGCTTACCTTTTTTTTCTTTTCTTTTTCGTGTGAAGATCTGATTCGAATTGCTGCAAGTGGTTTGAAAATTTGGAATATGAAGAAACTGTGAATCTGATACAATTGAAAATGGAATAAAACTGTTTTCGAGGCGTAGAGTTAAGAGCTCCAATATTTTCTTGACAAGTGTCCGATGCTACAGATGACCGACGATTCGACCGACCACGTGTCTACCCATGCTGCTGAGATCTATTATAGAACTCTGAGCTGATAAATGGGCCAAATAATGGGCCTGATCGTTTACTGTTGAAGCGGAGTCTTGCGACTCTCAGTCTCGCTTGTATTCTTTGAAGTCATCGCTTGACTGAGGGGACAAAGTTAAAACTAAATCATGAAGGATTTGGATATGGAAGTTTTTTTTTTTTGTAAACATGTTAAAATTTTATTATCGATTTTCGAATTTTTTATAGAAATTACAGAGATTACAAGGAAAGCAGAAAGACCGAAAATAAAAAACTACTAACAAATCCGACAAATGCAGCAAACAACAACGAAAGTATAAGAAAATGGAATGCGGAATTGAAATAAAACCGAAGCAAAACCAGACGGGAAAGCAGCAGTCGCACGCCAAAACGCAGACCACCCCGTAATTGCCACAGCTCCAAAGAACTAGAGTTCTCATCTTTGTTACCACAAGCATCTTCCCGAGGCCAACCCTCAAACCTCAAAAGAGAGACGCTTACAGCTTCTCCGAGAACTAACGGAATTTCCGGATTCCGTAACGGACTAACCTGCAACGGTTGACAAGGGAGCCCGCAAGGGCCATCGGAGAGTCACTTCGGACTACCATTCCCGAAAAAACGAATTTCCTCGAGAACCAGCTCCCACAGCTACAAACTAGCCGCAACAACAAACCGGCGCCTCAACAATCACGTCCAGTAATACTCCACCATCTACACCGGATCACATCCGGAGCCACCACAAACCAAGAACTATACACAAACGCGGAGCTATCGCAAATAATCGGACACACGCACCTTCGGAAAATCTCAGGCCACACCGATGCTGTAGACGGCGGAGGAGCCAAAAGCTGAGACAAACCAGCGGGGCAACCGCCGAGCCACCCGTCTTGAGCCACTGCTGAGAGACACCGTCGATGGAGCCGCACCTGCCGGAGAAACGAGAGCCAACACTCCGAGGCTTGCCACAAGCCAAAAGCCGCTGCCAAAACCCCTTAAGCCAGAGATCAAATTCGTCCTCAAAATCCAATACTTGACCGCCGAGATTGACAGAAGCTCTTTACTATCTAGCCACCACTCCGACACCTCGCGAATGAAGCTTGAGAGGGACTGTAGCCGGAAGAGACAGCCACCACCTGCACACCTTCGACTAAAGCCAGAGAGCTCGTCTCAGGCAGGAGACTCTAAAAGAAACGCCGAGGAAACACGCCGGAGAAAAAAACAAGCCAGATGCGAGAAGAGAGGAAGAGACGCCGGAAAAACGAAGCCAGACAGAGGGGGACGCCAACTACGAATGAAGACGGAACACCTCCACCGCGGATCCAACGCCGCTGAAGCCCGTGCCGCCGTCGTCGAGAACCCACCGACAAAACCACCATCGTTCCTGCAACACCCAGCACGGCGGAAACCAGATCTAAAGAGAAAAAGAAGAGATGCAGAAGAAAGAGGGAAACATGGGGGTCCTTCCTCCGGCGACGGTGAGCCACCACATGCGCCGGAGAGGGAGATCGGGAAGTTTTAGTTTGTCTGCAAGTTCAGATTTTAAAATCGCGGAGAAGGAGAAGAGGAGAGAGAAAATTCCGATTTGGAATGTTGAGATATTGATTTTTTACTTTTTGGATATGGAAGTTTTGATATTGAATTTAATTATATTGTGTGTAATTACAAAGTTTAATTATATTGAGTTTAATTATATTGTCTGTAATTACAAAGTTCAACCAAATTTATAATTTACATTTGAAAAATAAATAGTATAAAAAAGAAGAATAATAAATTTAATCATTCATTAGCAAATAAGATTTTTTTTTGTTGTCAAATTCAATTTTTATGTTGCATATATTTATAATAATTTATATTTCAAATATTTTATATATTGACTTTGTAACTTTATTTTTAGTATTAATAAAATTGTTTGACATAAAACAAAACTGAAATCGAAATTTAAATTGTTTTTAATTTATCATAAAGTAGTTTACGAAGTTTTTGCGCAACCAAATCGAATAAACTGTTTTTAATATTTTTTTACGAAATTTAATTATACTAAAATTAAATAACAATACAACGAAAACCGATTTCTTTTAGAATATTTCCTTGATTCTCTTTGCCTCCTCTACAAATTCCGGATCAAAACCCAAATTTTCCTTGTAAAAAATGATGCAAACTGAAACCAAAAGTGGAGAGAACGACTTCAAACGACATAAACTATGTTTAGTTTTAAATGTAATCAACTCCCATGAACATGAACATGAACATAAACATGAAACTTGTCAAATGCATTGGAGAAGAGAGATTATCATAAAAGCAAAGTAAAAAGAAAAAAAAGAAAGATGGGTCTCTGAGTTTAGGAAGGAGGAGGAATGGATTTGGCCCTGTTTTCTTATTTTTCATTATTGGTCCTCAAACTCGTGCATGTGATCTAGAAGATAATTAGCTGCAAGCTCTTCGTTCTTGTTACACGCAAAGAACACTTCTAAGACCATCGCACGATCAAACCCCATCGCTTCAAGCTGTTCACCCATTCAACAATAACAAATTCAACTTCCATCAAATACAAGACAGTATTTTATAACATGGATTCAAACATTCAAAAAAAAGTCTAGTTCAAGTAACAAATGAAAAGAAAAGAGGGAACAAACCCGTTCAATGGCTTCACGCTCCTCAGGTGTGACCGTAACAGCTTGTGGCATTGCTGCTTCCAACTGTTCAATGACATTCCTGTTGTGGCATTTGTGAGGAAATGATATATCAGCTTCCAGGTATTGTTGGACAAAAGAAGATTAATTGAAAATGTATGGAAACTCACTCTTCTCCCTCGACGGGCTCATTTATCAAGCGTAGGAAGTCAGCCTGGTGCTCTTGAATTAGTCGCACAAGCTGAGGGTTTTGTTTACCGAGCTCCTGAAGCATAGGCTGCAAAAACAAAACATTATAAGCTGAAAATATTATGCGATAGCCACATACCAGGGGAATTGAATAAGAGGTGAATCAACGTACCTGTAGAATTTGTGGGTTCGCTTGTACCATAGCTCGCAAGGCTTGGAACTAAGAAAAGGCAAAAAAAAAAAAGAATTTCAAATATCATAACAGTAAAGAATTGAAGATTTCTTTACTCGAATGTTAGAAGAATATGAAGATACCTGTTGACTGTTACGCAGGAAATCAAGATTACCAGCTCCAGCACCAGCATCTGCAGCGGGCATGCCCTGGGTGAAGACAAATAAGAGTGGATGTCATAAAATAAATCCAAAGGAAAAGAGTAAATTGAACTAGGTCAAGTACACTATTTTTGTGAGTTAAGATTTTACCTGAGGAAACAGGTTTAGTGGATTAGCATTTGGACCACCAGTTGGGGGCACTGGAGCAGCTTCTTGTTGGGGCTGTGCTAGAGGATTTGCTGCCTGTCCACCAGTAGCTGCGGCTGGAGCGACTGCAGGGATTTCAGCCTGAGCAGGGATACCCTGAAATGTATCAAACCAAAGTTCAATAGACTACACAGAGCAAAGGTAACTACAGTTATGGCAAACCAAATGTAACTACACAAATAACAAAGAAAAAAACTAGAATCAAGGTGTGGAATGTAGCATACCGAGTACAGATATTCAACAGCTCTTTCAGGATTGTTGAAGGCAGCTCTCAGGGCTCGAATAACAGTGTCACGGTCCCAACTACCTCCACCCATGTCAAGAATTTGCTGGACTGTTGACTCTAAATTAGTTCCAGCAACAAGGTTTGAGGCTGCGTGACCATAAACATCTGTTTGAGTCCTGTTTCAATCAACAAGAAAAGAAAGTAGAAGTTAATTGAACACTAATCAGGGTAAGACGAAATTCGACAAAAGGTATACAGCAGTTCTAAAAGCACTCACGAAACAGCAGCAGCAGCCGGCGCTGCATCGGTTGCAGTTCCACTAGTAGGCTCTGGACTGCAAAATGCAAGCAAGAGTACAGCAAATTAGCAAAGAGGCATAACAAAGTGATTCATCAACAGAAGAGGTAAATTAATGTGAGGGGAAGGCCTGGAACTCACACTGAGACAGTTGGAGCAGGAACCTGAGGAGCAGAAACCGGAGGTGCAGCTACTGTCCGTGCAGGCTGAGCCTAAAAATCCAAGCAATTCAATCAGACAAACTAAAACTGTAATCTAGATACGATATTCTGTTTGTTTTCAATTGCAAATAGAAAGCTTCAAAAGCTGAGTGAACCATAGCAAAGTTCACACAAAAAAAAAAAATATTCACCTGAGTAGCACTAAGTGGTGGCGCTGGTACTGGTGTAGATGAGGCCCCAGCTGAAGAAACTTTAGCCTATATTTCATCAAAAACAAGATCATTAGTATAACGAGTTAGCCTCCAGTAATTACTAGAATCCTGTTAGTGATACTAAAAATGAAAGAGCATCAAACCTTGGACAGCATGATAACAATGAAACTTTTCTCAACAACGTTGTTCTCTGCCAATGTAGTCTCATCCTTGAGAACCTTTCCTTGATGGATCAGCATCTGCTGAGCAGCGGGGTATTGCTCACCATGAATGGTTTCTATACTTTTTTTAACATCAGAGATCTGAGATAACCACCAAAATGTTAATATGCATCTCAACGTTATATGAAACACCAAAGCCAGACAGTATAAGCATTTCATGGCACAGTTACAAATCAAAGAAACATCCTCAGAAGATATGAGACTAGCAACAAAACAATTAAGTCGCACCAACGAAGATTTCACAGATATCTATCTATCAGGATGTCAGATAATTCCTTAAGTGCCTTAAGATTCGTTAAGCAAACATAGTCTATGAAATCTTCTACAGATGAAAAACCCAGATGGGATCCCCAGTATAATTGGCTATATCATACTCTTAGAGAAGCAAACTTAGATTCCAGAAAGATCTAGAAAATAATCCGATTCATAATGAAAAACACGAAGCCAAAGATAAAATGCACTCTCAATTAGTCCAAAAGTTAACCCAAAGCCAAAACTATCACCAAACTTAAAGACTCACAACAAAACCCTAATTCGAATCCCAATCCGTTCACTTAAACGAAACCACGAATCGTCACAAAGAAATCTCAACCAGAAAACACAGTACGTCGCAAACGAAACCCAGAATTTCAAATCAGAGAGTCGTGAGATTCACTATTTCAAACCCAATTTCTCCACTCAAACCATATAATTACGGGAACAAAATCAGACCTAATAATCAGTTAAAACGCAATAAGGAAAAAGAAGATTTCGAATTCAGATGTTGAGTTTACCGTATCCGTCTCATTTACTTCGATCTCGAAGTTCGTCCCCTTGAGAGTCTTCACGAAAATCTTCATCGTTTTAGGAAAAAACTTGAGCGAAGAGAGAAAGTTTTAGAGAGAGAAGCAAAGTATAGAGAGAGACCGCTTTTGGGGTCTTGAGTCAGCTTATATATCAACACCAATTAACAAATGTTAATGACTGATCGCATACACGCAAGCCTATACACGTTTGGTGTATCAAGAAAATCATGTGTGGACTAAGAGCCAATCGTGATTTTTCAAACCGTTGGATTAATAAGGGAGTATGAGATGTAGTGAGCATGTGCACAGGTGATTATAAACTCCTCCCAGGATGGCAGAATCAACTGAATTACGGCTTAGGCTTGGAAGTTTAGATATTGGCATGCGATATTTACTCATGTAAAGTTAATACTACTTTTCTTTTTATTTATTTTGTTTTGCTCTGCAAGTTAACTTTTTTACTAATTAAAACACATTTCTGATTAATAATTAAATTTAAAAATTTAAAACAACGTACTCAATATATCTATAAAAGTATTTTTTTTAAATGTATACAATTAAGAAAGTAAATACTGTATCTAAACATAAACAATATTTTAGTTTTTGCAAAGATATGCATTTACTCTCATATAAATTAAGCTATATCTATAAGAAGATTTCCTATATATAGATTATACATATATTGCAAGCTTAGAAATAGTATAACTTTTATTGCTACAATAAATTTATCGGATGATTCTTAATTTTTTCCAAATAAATAAATTTATATATCGTCTAGAAAAAAAACTTTATAACTCTCACATAAATTAAGCTATATCTATAAGAAAATTTCCTATATATAGATTATACATATATTGTATGATGCGATCTTCCCAAGGAATCGGCACTCTAAGGTGGTTTAATGGATAATCCTTGACTCCAAACACTTTCACGGAGAAGATGCTAAGGCGTGAGAAGTGATTCCCGAAAATTCTTAGTCCCAAACTCGCGGTGAAAAGGAATGAAACAAGGGGGTGAAACAAAGAAAGAGAAAAACACCGGTAAAAGGATGTTAAGACGTGAGAAATGAATTCCCAAAAATTCCTAAGCCCCAATTACTACTAACGGAATTCCCAAACTCTGCAAACGAAGGCTGCTTCAAGTTTTATGGACTGAACTTGATAAACCGGGTTGATCAATGGATAACCTCCATAAGATCGAAAAATGAGAATCACTCTCAAAGGTTCTAAAAATAATGAATCAAATCTTATTTCTCCAAAAAGAGATTACACTTATTTATAGGAATAAAAAACTTGTAAAGAAAGCTAATTATTAAATGATCTCGAAAATATAAGAAGATTAAAACTAAATGAAAGGAAATAAATAGAGTTAAAAAACTCTTGGCCTTCTTGACTCTTTATTCATGACTCTTCACTCCATTTTCGTCACCTCCTTTGACCAGAAAAATAAAGTGCTTATTTTGGGCTCTTCTTGGACTTCTATCATTCTTAAAATGGGCTAGACTCTATAGGTAACATCTTGAATGGATTTCTTCATGCTTCTCTTATCAAAATCTTCATAAATTTGCCCATTAAGTGCTTCTTTGAACTTTTTAGCATTTAGCCCTTTTCATGGTCATATCATCCTCTTCCTCTTCAAAAGGATTTGTCCTCAAATCCATATCTCACAATGAAACACATTTTTTTTTATTCCTCTTTTTTTTTTATTTTCATTTTTTTTTAACTCTGTTTTTTTCTTTTTTTTTCTTTTTTGTTTATGAAAAAAATAAACAAATAAAACATAAATAAAATAAAATGGAAGAAAAGAAGATGAAATGATAGAAGATGAAAGAAAGAAGATGAAAAGATGAGAAAAATGAAAAGAAGAAAATAAAAAGATAAAAAAAAAATAGAAAGATATAAACCAGGCTTAGAGTGTTGCTCTGATACCAAATGATGTGATCCTCCCAAGGAATCGGCACTCTAAGGTGGTTTAATGGATAATCCTTGACTCCAAACACTTTCACGGAGAAGATGCTAAGGCGTGAGAAGTGATTCCCGAAAATCCTTAGGCCCAAACTTGCGGTGAAAATGAATGAAACAAGGGGGTGGAACAAAGAAAGAGAAAAACGCCGGTAAAAGGATGTTAAGGCGTGAGAAATGAATTTCCGAAAATCCTTAAGCCCAATTACTACTAACAGAATTCCCAAACTCTGCAAACGAAGGCTGCGTCAAGTTCTATGGACTGAACTTGATAAACCGGGTTGATCAATGGATAACCTCCATAAGATCGAAAAATGAGAATCACTCTCAAAGGTTCCAAGAATAATGAATCAAATCTTATTTCTCCAAAAAGAGATTACACTTATTTATAGGAATAGAAAACTTGTAAAGAAAACTAATTATTAAATGATCTCGAAAATATAAGAAGACTAAAACTAAATGAAAGGAAATAAATAGAGTTGGAAAACTTTTGGCCTTCTTGACTCTTTATTCATGACTCTTCACTTTATTTTCGTCACCTCCTTTGACCAGAAAAATAAAGTGCTTATTTTGGACTCTTCTTGGACTTTTATCATTCTTAAAATGGATTGAACTCTATATGTAACATCTTAAATGGATTTCTTCATGCTTCTCTTGTCAAAATCTTCATAAATTTTTCTTATTAAGTGCTTCTTTGAACTTCTTAGCATTTAGTCCTTTTCATGATCATATCATTGTAGGCTTAGAAATAGTATAACTTTTATTGCTACAATAAATTTATCTGATGATTCTTAATTTTTTCCAAATAAATAAAATTAGATGTCGACTAGAAAAAAAAACTTTATATATCTTTAATTAGTTGAGTATAATAATGGATGGACAGGTCTTTAAAGTAACATGGATTTTACACATATTCTTAATATATACTTAGATTTTGAGATATGCTACGCGTTGGTAGTTTTTTAATGCTAATATGCTATCATATTCATAGAAATCATATTTAAGAAGTTATATTTATTTAGATATTAATTTATTGTAATAAAATTTATCAAAAGTAATTCAGTTTTAATCTCAAAATTTATATATCGATTTTGAGGTTTCAACAATCTTGTTTGTATTTATATATGTGTCGTTTAAACAACATATTATTTTGTTGAACTCTTAACATTTTGTATACCAAAATCTACTCAAAATATAACAAACTAATTAAATAGTACTTATTTAGTATTAACATGAAGATAAAGTACTATACATCACTTATTAATCAAGAAAATAAGTATTTTTCATTAGTTGCATCTTTGTTATGTATGCTTTTTATAAAAAAAGATAAAATTAAAATTTATTCTCTTTTCTTAGCTAGTTTAGTTGATAAAATTTTCTAATTTATTCTAAATTAAAAATAAACTAATAAATATAATTTTTGCTTTCATATATTTCAGTAAATAAATATAAAATAAAATTTTAAACTAATTTTAAACCACAAAAATCGATGAATTCAATATAAATTTTAGTTAATTTTATTTTAAATTGGTAAATACCAAATCTTTTGTCAAGTAACATATTGTGTGTGATAGCTTCTAAATGTTTTTTTACTGACAACCACAAAAGGCAAATATTTTTTCCTTACTTTACTGTTTAATGAGTAAAAAGTATACTTGATAGCATTTAATTGCTTCTTAATAAATTATTAAATTAATTTTTGATATATATTAAAATAGATTTCACAAACTTTTTGACACCCTAAAATTATGTTTAAACTACCAATTATCTTCACATATTAATATATGTGTTATTTTTATTTTATAATAAATATTATTTTAATTAATTTTATAATTTCAACTTGTATAAATATTTTTAAATTCTTCTAATGCTTGTAGGTTAGTATACTAAAAAACAACTAAAAACAATAACCAAAATAATCAATTACTATTTAATAAAAATAGTATTGACACGAAAAATTAGTATATGGTTCTTTTCTAATAAAATAAAATAAGATTTTTTAAAATATTTAATTTCATTCTGTTTATATCAGTTTTATAAGAAAACTGAAAAACAATTTTAAAATTTACTTTCATTCTTTAATTGATTGCATATTATTTTTATATCTAAGTAAATTTGTATTTTGTTTAAAAAATATTCTTAATTTAATATTATTTTATTTTTTTGTTAATGAAATTTTAATACATATTTTCCTTATTCTTTTATATATTTTATTAACAATAATTTTAATTTTCGAAACTTTCTTAATTTTAAGTGTTGATGTGGACCAATAAAATTACCCTTTTTAATTATATGTGGACACTATTAGAGGCATTTAGCTTCAACTTTTTATTAGTAATAATAGGATTATTTTATTTTATTCAATAACTCCTTATACTATTCAATAACTCACCCCACAGTAATATTGACCCTTTATCAAAAAAATAAAAACACAGTAATATTATGCTCTTTATTTTTAAAAATATATAAAAAAATATAGGATTTTGTGACTTTTTTTGTTATTCTAGATTCGCCTGAAAAAAGATAATTGCTGCTAATTTTGCAGTTTTGTGGTGTAGCTACATATCTTTTCATCGTAGAGTCGTTTGTAACAATGGGTCTAATTGGTGATCACGTTTGAATAAGACGGTTAGAGAATTTTGAGCGATTCTAACAAAAGCGGTTAGAGATAGTGGTTACAAAAGATCGTTTGGTAACAGAAAGCGGTTTAATATTAACCTTGATTGGTAACATTACAGCGGTTGAATAGTATAATTATATAAAATTAGTAAGAGTGCGTTACCACTTGGGGCACTTTTTGAAAGATAATATGTATAGACACTGTTTAGGGGATTTTTGGTCCTCTTGTGGGGGCAAGTCTCCTGCAAAACGAAGAAACACGTGAAGGCTCGGAAAACACGATGGGGGTGTGTTTTCCAAAAGCAGCTTTTGAAAAGCTCTCTGACGTTCAAGTCAAAAAACAACAAAAAAGATCACTAAGTGGCTAATTGGAGAGCAGAAAAGATCAGAAAACTAAATAAGGAAATTAGGTCGAGCGTTCTTGAGAATGGAGGAATCGACTCAGGCCTTTAGTGGTGATTGGTTTTTATCGTGAAAAGAGAAGGAAAAAAAAGTTTATTGGTGGAAAAGCTCCACGGCTTAGGGACCACCGTGGAGAGGAA